CACAACCGTCACTACAGTTGACAGTTCTGTATAGCTTTGCTGCCACCCTCTGGACATGCAGATGCTCTCAACCACACATTTATTCACCCTCTATTAATTTGAACCGCATTGCAGTTTGTCATTATACATAATATAACAATTATACATACATAGGGAACTTAATAACTTTGGGAGTTGTCTTTGAGTTGCCTTGAAAATGCACTTGTAAAAATGACATTAGGCCCGTATAAGTTGACCCATTGCACTAATTCACCAACATCATGTGCAGATACTGCTGTAATTGTGACTTACAGTAGTTAGTGCCTAAATTGCTGGTTCAAGCCATTAAACAATAACTTATAACACAAATACACTGCAGGACTACTGTACTGCCTCTGGTGTTTCGAAGAAATGAACAAACTCTACCTTCAAAATAAATCTATTAAAGTCTGTTAAGGTGTTACTAGGCAGGTTTAGAGATCCTTAACTTCACAAATAAGTAATGTAAGCACACGTTTTTTTCTCTAGCTTTTCTCTTGAATTAAATTAATAGCAACAGTGCACTTGGACATTTCACCCACACCTCACTCTGTGTACGCTGGACTGATGCCAATAATTTGGTTTAATTAACCAAAAATGAAGGAAGAATAGTTTAGCTTGCCCTGTTGTTTGGGTACTTTTGTGTTGTTTTTAAACAAATTGCAAATATTAATTGGAAATACTGTAACATTTGACATTTAAAAGTTCTAATACAGTGATAAAAGTAATTTTAAAAGGCGATATAAGCCCGGTTAGCTCAGTCGGTAGAACTGGCGACCCATATATGAAGTTGCTGCAGCGGCCCGGGTTCAAATCCGACCTGTGGCCCTTTGCTGCGCGTCATCCCCTCTCTCTCTCTCTCTACCCACCTTTCCTGTCTATCTTCGGCTGTACTATCTAATAAAGGCATGAAAAGGCCAAATGTGTATCTTACAATTAAATCTTTTTTCTTCCCCTACAGGAGCTGCGGGTTATCCCTTGTGCTCACAGATTTCATAAGAAATGTGTCGACCCCTGGCTACTCCAACATCACACCTGTCCTCACTGTAGACACAACATCATCGGTGAGTTGGTGTACAACCTCTGACTAGTTTGCTTTGATGTTTAGATAAAATATCCTTTTGTTAGCACTTGTTTAAAGAAAAAAACGTTCCCTGGTTATAAAAGACACACTCGCAAAGTTACTTTTAATTTGTGAGATTTTAAAAGTTACATTATGCCTTTTCACAGAGCAAAAGAAGGGAAATCCAGGACCAGCGTGTATGGACCCAGGCAACCCAGTCCACGGCCGGCAACGGGTGGTGCTGCCAGTCCATTATCCTGGCAGGGTGCACCGGGCTGGCCAGGTGACAGCCTACCCAACCAGAACCAGCATGGACCCCCATGGCAACCCCATCACTGTGCTTACTGTTGACCAGCATCCAGATCCTCAAGGTCTGTACCCACCCCAATCAACGTCTGCCTTTCTTCGGAGCTACCACCCCACCCTCCATCTGGACCACTCACTCAACCCTCACCACTGCGGATTAGAGCACCGCGGCCCTCCCGCCTACCCAGCACAGCCGCATCATGCTGCTTTCAAACGACCCAAGTTCCATGGTCGCAACTTTTCCCGTGCAGCCTGCTTCTCGCAGTACGAGACAATGTACCAGCACTACTATTTTCAGGGGTTGACTTTCCCTCAACAGCCTGAGGGGGGCCAAGGGCCTGCTATGGCAGGGCAGCTTGGTGGAGGAGGGGCCCACAAGGGCCACCACAGCAGGGCCTTTCAGCAGGGGCTGTTATACCCCACAGTGGTACACATGGCACCTGCCTCTTCTTCAAGGATAGGTGATAACGGCAGTACTTCTGGTCTGAGCTGTTACCATGGTCACCGCTCAGTGTGCAGTGGTTACCTTGCTGACTGCCCTGGTAGTGACAGTAGCAGTAGCAGCTCAGGTCAGTGCCACTGTTCCTCCAGTGACTCCATGTTGGACTGTACTGAGGTCAGCAACCAGGGGGTGTACGGTAGCTGCTCTACCTTCCGCAGCTCACTGAGCAGTGACTACGATCCTTATGTCTACCGGAGTAAGAGTCCATGTAGGGGCTCCATGGGGGAAGCAGGGGCTGCAGCTTGCACCACAGTTCCTGCTGAGGACTCATTATCCTCTGCTCCCTTGGGGCATGACTGCCTACAGCTCCCTCCTGGAGCATCGGGATATAACTCGGGGGACCACCTCTCCAACTGCAGTTTGGAGCCCAACTACAGCAGTCGCTCATCACTGGAACCCAGGGAGAACAGCAACATTAGCACTACCTCAGCCGGGGCTCCAGAGGCTACCGGAGCAGACAGGGGAAAAGGGGCACAGGAGGAGTCGGGGGAGCTTGGGGCTGCAGCCTGTAGCTGCTGCTTTGAGGTGCTTCCTCCCAATGTGGAGTGCAAAGGGCAGGACTCGGACCAAGCTGGGCCTCTGGCCACAGGACGCTTTCACAGGGGGGTGGACTTTCAGAGCTCAACCTCAAAGAACTATTTTGCTCCTGAGCACATGTGCCCTTCCTCAGACCAGGTCAGCTACGAAGGGCTGCCTTGCTGCTTCTACAAAGAGATGAAGGTCCACAGGGCCACAGCAGGGCGTTACACTGAGGACTACGCTGTTAATGTGCAGTATGCGCATGCAGACTCAGAGGCCTGCTCTGGACAGGGCTGCTGCGAACTCAACCAGAGAATACCCATAATTCCTGAGGACACAGATTGTGAATTGGGCACAGGGGCAGAGACCCAGAGCAGTTTATTGCCCATTAGTGTCACAGTGGAGGCAGAGGTGCGGACAGGGGAGCGACATGAGCCCAGGGAGGGGTACTTCACCTCAGGACATTTTAGAGGTCAGCCATACCCTCAGGAGGAGGAGACCAGGGCTTTGTTTCACCCTCAGCTCTCTGCAAGCCCCACTGCATTGGGAAGCAGTACTTCAACAAATGACGGAGGTCTGGGTTCATGAACTTGAGCTCAGAGAGAAAGGACTCAAAAGTATGTATTTGGTACCGTATCAGTCAGTCAATCATTGAAACCCTCAGCTGCCTTGTTCTAACCTTGCTCTCTGAGCGCTGAATGTTATCATCTTAGATTGTGTGGATTTCTACTGAAATGGCCTGTCATTTCTAGATATACAGTGTATCAAGTTCATTCCTGTGGCCACAAACGTCTCAGCACCAAACTATGTTACTATAGCACTGAGACAAAGACATATGGATGGAGGTTGTTAACTGAAACTAGAAGAAGGTTGGTATTGGCATCTATTTGCAGACTGTCTGCTGCCATCAAGGGTTAGGCTCCTTCAGTGCTAAAGTACTCCGGGCCAATTTCTTGTGAGATTTTTTTTCAGATTTTGTCAAGAACAAGATAGATATATTTTGTGCAAGATCTAGAAATCTGAGATTTTTCTCTAAAAAAAAAAAAAGTACACTCGTAATTCACAAACATCTACACGTATATGTGCGCACATGAACACTGACTGCCTATAAAGCTTCAACCACCAACTCAAATAGGTTGTACGGACAAAGCTATACCAAAACAGAAAGACATGATTGTTGTTTTTTTTACTTTTTTCAAGAGCAGGGAAATGGGTCTTTCTAAGTGTCTGTGACCCACACATTTCTCTGAGGAGAAGAAGCTATATATTACAGAAAAATGCATAGAAATGTGAATGCAAGGCTGACACTGGTCTCTATTCAAATTAATACAGAATTTGTTTTATGCATTGCATTTCTGTCCAATAGTGGCCTACCTGTATGAGATGTGCCAGAGCAACATGAAAGCCTTATGCTGGTAAGCTATTTGTAGCAATATCTAAAGACACTGCACCACTTTTAGTCAAACTCCAGACTAAAGTGACAGTGTTTTGGGGTCAGTAGATTTCTTCAAAAGTAGAGTGTAGCACTCTACCTCTTGTTTGGAAGCCCTTAAAAGTGTATTTTTGCTGTCACTTACCCAATTTCCTCAATGAGGCATAAATATCTATAAAGGTTCTAGCATGTATCAAAAGGCCAAAGGAAAGTAGCTGGAAAAGACTCATATTTCATAAGGGTTCCTTATTGTACTGTGACTTTTTTTTTTTTTTTTTAAACAATGCAGTTATACATACCACAGTGTATCCGTTTGAATCATATCGTGCCATGCATAATACATACTCGCGATATCAATGCTTGTCATTCATGCCTTTCTGTTTGTCCTGCAGACTGTTTTTATACTGTTTCTATGAAATATACACATTCTCTACACAGAGGAAAACTTTCTGAAATAACCCTATTTATAAGTTAACCCAGTGCTGTAATCAAGTGAGAATCTAATCTTGCCTTTTGCATAGAGATGTACCTACTGCAAATATAACATTTTGGGGTACTTGAGTCACTATTTAATTTTTTTGTTATTGTTTCTAGCACTTAAGAAGATTAAAATGTGTACAAAAATTAATATTTTTTAATTTTTTAAGAATATAATTATTTTCTGTCATTACCATTACAAATGTTTAAAAAAGGCTAGAAATCAATCTGTGTATATTTCTGTACCTGTATAGCAAACACATTTCATAAATGGAAATATGTTCTCTGAATATTTATTTACTAATATATTTATCTTTAAGCCATGTCTTATGTTCAGAGTGTATGAACGTTTGAGTTATTTGGTTGCTTTTTATTTTGAGAAAAATCACTAACATGAGACTTTGTATATACATGGTAATTGCACACAAGACGATTAAATCTTCTCTGACCAAAAAACTGATTTTAAAACTTTAGTACCATACAGTTTTGTAATTAAAGTGTACAAAGATCTGTAAAATATACAGTTTTATTCAAGTAACTGATGCTGTGGTGTCCTCCTTTCCATTATTTGCATTCCACATTGAGATTTGTGCTTTCTGAAAGTTAGTAGTTGTAGTAATTGTATTATCATTAGTATTATTTGCCTTCTCTAGCATTGAGAATTATCCACTCAGATACTGAAATCAACTTTTGCAACTTTTATTATTCATTGCCAAAACATATGTGTTCCAAAACTGTTCAAAACTGACTGTACTCAAATGGTTTCACTCACTTTCCAGTTAACACAGATACAGTGACATTTTAGTTTTTAGTTTTAAGTACAGCTGTACGGTTTAATTAACAATAAATATGTCCACTGACCTCTTGTGCAGTGACATCTGCAGAGAGGAGCTTTGGGGCTTCATGCTCTGAAATTCATGTCAGAGAACTCAGAACTGCAGACAGTCTGTCATACAGGCAGAAGAGCCTAAAACACAGTGTCATTTTGCTTTGTTCATACAAGATGTTAGGAGTGCATCTCAGAGCTTGAAACCAGAGTGAAGAGCCACAACTCCGCCAGTGAGGTTGTGGTAATGCACACAGTAGAAACCTGCGTCCTCAATCATTCCTTTAAACTCCTCCTGCAGAAGAAAAAGAACAAAGAAACTAACTCAACAACAATGAAACCACAAAGTGACACCACTGCCCCTTGTTATACTGGTGTTTGGCTTCAAATAATTCAAACCAATGAAAACAGTGCTGAACTAATTCCTTAATCATACACGTCATTTATCACATTTAAAAAAAATCTGGTTCCAGATTCTGTGATGATTTACCAATTTCCTGTTTAAATTAATGAATTACATTAATATGATTTGAATGCTGCTGAATACATCACTTTGGCTGCCCCTGAGTATTTTCATGGCATTTAAAAGTTAAACATGGAATCAACTATTTAAAAAAAAATGTCGATAGAAGAATTAAATGAATTGTTAGTTGAGGTTCCAGTAGCAAAATTAATAAAACATTTATGAAATATATGAGAAGCAGAAATATCAAGCTTAAATGACAAAAGCAACATTATACAACAAGAACATTTGTATAATAGAATCTTTACAATCAAAATTAAAAGTAGGCCTAACTTGGTGTGAATCAAATCCAAATTAAGGAGTAGCAATGATACAAATTGAAGAATCCATTATTCTCACCTGGTCTGGGAACTTGCGGATGCTTTCTACCAGATACTGGTATGACTTCCAGTCTCCAGCAATCACCTCTCCCAAAACTGGGATCATCTGGAAACTGTAAGTGTCATAAAGCCTGAAAAACAGAACAGGATACAAGTTTTCAAGGGAGCCAAAAGCTACTTTCTCAGACTTGGAAACTAACTGCTGCCAATCTGTAATGTCTCCAAGATCTTTCATACATGGACTTACAACTAAGTCTATAACCCTCTAGGATAGGTTTGTTTACATAGAGTAAATAGCATAAAAAAATAAAAAATGCTCATTTTGCATCAAGCCAAACTCTACAGTTACATGTGTCAAAACATTTGCAGCTTAAAAAGTAAGAAATTAGCCCATTGAAACCACTACATGTAACATGTTTATATCTATGCTGCTTTTGAAGCATATGTGGAATTACTAAAAGACTGGCAGCCTCATCAAGCCTCTGCAGCAGGGGTAGTTAACCATGAGCGACGACAGGTTTCAACAGGTGATTTCACTCATGAACTCTTCCTCTCTTATAGAAGTGCTAATCAGATGGTGGAGTCTGAAACCCTCCACAGACTACTGGCCCTCCATGGCACAATGTTTGCCACCCACACGTAGCCAGGACACGTTTAACAGGCAATCTGCTGAATTACTTTGAGGTACAACACCAGAAGAGGGCAGTGTTTGTCCAAACCACACAAAGCAAAAGGTTGTTTCTCAATTGTACCAATTATGGAAAAGGCCCCCTTTCAGGAAAATTCCATTAACTGCTTAACACACTTTAATGAAAAATGCAACGTGTAGCACATCTAACAAACTAGCTGCTTCTAGAATAGGATGAGACTGGTAACTGTTAGGTGTTCATTTTCCCACAGATTTCCCTTGTTTCACAGCTTGGATAAACACTTGTTTGCCTGTGAGCACATAGGCTGTTAAAATGTGTTGTTGCATTTGTGATGACAGCAATAAATCATAAAAGACCTTCTGAAATTTACAAGGTTGATTCATATTCACACCAAGTCATCATGAGCGAACACTCCTCCTCACTTGCCTTGCCAACACCGGATTTGTCACTTTGCTGAACTCTAGGCACATGAACCTGCCACCAGGCTTCAGGACCCGCAGGGCCTCCTGCAGTGCCTGACAAAAGAAATAAAACAAATCTAGTCAAATAATTAGTTCACCAATGATTAGTCAGACACTAAATAATAAATGACAATTCTAAAGATCAGTTAATCTGCATCATCTATCAAGCAAAAAAGCAAAATATTTCTTGGTTATTGTTGGATCTAAATAAATTAAGCTTTTTTTTTTTTAAACATGCAAATCAACATATTCAATACAGATGTATTATGAATTCCTTTCTTTACATATTATTCAGACAAACACAAATGGATTACAGTAAAGAAAGCTCACGGTATTAGTAGTATGAATGACACCGTGGCTGTTGCCTCTGTTCCACTAACAGGCCAAGATCACTATGTGCAGAGCCGTAGTACCAACAGTTTTTATGGGAACATCTGTGCATTAGCTGTAGTAATGGTCGGGACAGGTACCTGATCTATATGGGTGACGTTTCGAATGCCAAAGGCGATGGTATAAATATCAAACTGGTCATCATCAAAGGGCAGCTCCTCTGCATCCCCCACCACCCACGACAGACCTGACGCACATTAACACAGAAAGACACTCGAGTCAAAAATGACAAACTCTCTTCATTTCAACTTTACTTTCTCCTCAGATCCCAAGAGCTGTGGGCTGATTGCAGTTTTGATGCACTTGTAGCTGTAATTCCAGTTCTGTTTCATAATCCTGCAGTTATTATGTACTCTGTTCAGGTCACGCATGGTTGCACAGAAATCTCTCACACCTATAATTAAAAAAAAAAAAAAAATCTATCTGCACCTCCAGTCGGTGTGCTGTTCTCAGTCTCAGGAGTGGGATTTGGATGCTTGGAACTGAATGTCGGCACAAATTAAATTTATATTAATGTATAAAATTGTCCAAGACATGAACAGTGACTCAGCTTATTTCACTGCACACTGGGTTCCATAATACGAGCCTCATTCTGCCTTTGATCATATTAGATAGAAATGCTTACACGATGATGGATGATGAAGCTGTCCAAGTTTTAAATTATTAACATCCCCACCAGTCTGTGTTATTTCCGTACTGACTTGACTCTCAACAGGTGAATATGAAATTACTCTAGTTCCTGGCTGCCGGCATTACTGTACTAAATCTTCTGTTTCCAATCATAGAGCTTGTTTTTATGAATAACTGACCACATCTTTGAATGCTCCTTTCCAGATGGATGACAATTATCTTTTTCAATATTCAACACCTTACTTTTAAAGGTAGGGATGCACTGATTGGGATCCTGACGCAATGTTTATTTGGCAGATGCTGATGTTTTTCTTGTTGTAATATAGCCGCCCTTTTATGCCAGGGAAGCTCTGCCTCGCTGCAGCTCTGTCTGTTTCTCTTCTCATCCAAGATGTGAGACGCAGAGCTGAACAGCCGCTCACTGACCCTGCTGGTGCACGGAGCACAGTATTTGCATGGAATTGGAATTCTGCTGGAGAATGGAGGTGATTATTTCTCCAAAATCCAAGTTGGAAATAACCAACACAACATTTAGCCAAGATCAAGATATTGACACACAAAACAGATAAATATTGCCCACTGACACTGGTGAATACATCGTATTTGCTGTAATAGATAATAGGACAGACCTAAGTAATGAGCATCAGTGTAATCTTGTCTTGATACAAAACAGTTTTGTACTTTGCCCAAACAATATAAAGTCATAAAATCGTAATAAAACTATGATTTAAATCTGAATGTATCTGATCACAGAATGACTAAACAAAGACCAAACCATCAATCCTAGCTTTGGTCGGGTTGAGGTTTGATACACAGCCCTGCAGACAGTGATCAGATAAGTTGTTTACATGCTACAATATCCCAGTTTTTTTTTTTTTTTTTTCTTTTTTTTTCAGAACAACTGAACCACAATATCTGGCATTCTCAAACCAAGGATAAGGGTTTATGCAGGCTCCTGCAATCATAGGATCTTTACATGCACAATATTGAACGAGGATATTCCAAAAACCTGATCTGTGTACATGTAAACAAGCTCATTAAAACCTCAGAGTTTAGGGATAACGCAGGGATCAGACGTCTTACTCTGAGACTCTTGAACCACTTTTACAGTCAAAAACCTACCAGCACTGACGCCCATGCTGTCGGCTTTCTGCTTGCCCACTTTCAACATCTCCTTGTTGATGTCACAGACCACAGCCTTGGATTCCTGGGGCCCATCCTTGTCCTCTGTGGAGTAGTTGGTGGAAATGTCCTGCCACGAAGGCGTCTGCGTGGACCGTGCTGCCCGCCGCTTCTGCCGCTCTTGCTGAGACTGAACGTACTCCAGGAAACGGAAGGCAATGTCACCTGCAGAGGAGGATTATCATAAACAAAACAAAAGTGTGACACCGGTTGGGTTTCAGTTTCAGTGTTTTGCAGAGGTGCAGACAAACTGCTTTACCTGTTCCACCTGCCACATCCAGGAGTCGCACTCCCGGCTGCGGGTGCATGGCATGCAGCAACATGTCCTTCCACACTCGATGAATCCCCAGACTCATGGCATCGTTCATAACGTCATACTTCTGTGCCACATTCTCAAACACCTTATACACTGTGAAAGAGAAAGAGAGAGAATCTCAACTGAGGCGGTTTACTGTGTATTTTATGTTTGTACTCAAATAGTCTATTGCACTAATGTTTTAATGTCATCAAATACAGACACGAGCAGTGTTCAGTTGGTTGCAATCTGCAGCTTGACCACTAGGTTCAACTAAATCTTACACACTGGTCCTTTAATTACATTTTTAATATTTTTGTTGACAAACTTGAACTTGATGTCAATAAAGATAATAATAATAATAATAATAATAATAATAATAATAATAATAACAACTTTATTTATTTAGTGCCTTTAAAAATAAATTACCAAATTGGTGAGTACTGTTTATGTTGATGCATATATTCTCTGTTGTAATCCTGTAAAGCACTTTTAATAAGTAATCTATAATCAGTGTGAAATCACCAACATGGTCAAACAAAATAACATTTTAATTGGTATATGGTTTACGGATGTATGGACTTTATTATGTGTCTGTATGAGTTTGACATTCATACCACTGACATTCACTACTTTGATAAAGGAATGTCTCAGCTCGTTAAAGACCCACATTAGTAAATATGAACCAACAGAACACAGATATCTGCTGCATGCATTATGAAACTACCGACACGCCCTGTTCTCTGTTGCAACAGACTTCATTAAGAAAACTGACAAATGATCTTCCCTTGCTCACCTCTGAAAACAACACTGTAGATACAACATGATTTAAAACGCTAACACTTAATTAGTGTGTAACACTTTAATTCGGCACACACAGAATAAACCTAACACTACTCACTCTGGTACAATTCCCACTAAAAGAGGACCCACTAGAATTCCCACCACTGAAAACCATCTGACATCCTGACCTGAGCTCAGTGATGAAGAGAGGTGTCTGAATGAGGACACCAACACAGCTGACCGTAGATCTGCTGTAGCTCACCTCTCTTCGCCTTCTCGGTCTCCGGGACCGTTTCGAAACCGAAATGTGTACTTCTGTCTCCGGTTGCATCGCTAAAGCAACGACAGGACGACGACCCCGAGCAGCAACCGGACCGACCTGAACCTCCAGCAGCGGCGACGTTAATGTTTCTGTGGGAAAGACGGAGCACCCTCCGGACCAGCAGTCTCATGGACGCGGCCATGTTTGTCTGATTATACAACTGTGCGACTGTGTTTCGTCATCCACAGGCGACGGTGGCAGGCTTTGGGTTGATCAATATCATTTGTTATTTCGGACTAAAGACACAGATCATGACAGAAAGTTTACGCACTGCTACAATGGGTAGACAAAACCCTGATATTGTTTTTAATGGCTGAAACTTGAAGAATAAGTTTCACTTTAGTTATTTATTCGTTATTGTTTTGTTATATTTCTATACAGGACTTGTTCTATGCTTTGAATCTGTAAAAATACAAGTAAAAGTCTTTTTAATTATATTTAAACCATGACCTGAGTAATAGTATCTAAGTAGGTAATTATTATTTAGTGAATTCAGCCTACTGCATCAAAAGTATTCAATGTGCAGTTAAATGTTCTCTGTCACTATTCTATATGCTGTTTCTGGATTAATATTACGGCTGCATTAATGTGTTGTTTTATGTTACTACTTCATATACTGTATTGGTAGTTTAATCTGCAGCAATGCATCATATTCAATAAGATCATCATATGTTTGTAGCCTCGCTGTCCTGTGAGAACCACGTGTCTCTAAAAAGTCAACTTTTCATGAGCTCTGTTTTTAGCTTTGTGACAATGCAATTTTCCAAATAATCTAAATTTAAATTGTCTATTTGCTTTTGAGTAGGAACAATTAATTCTTCAGTTTATCAGAAACATTCAAATTAAAAATCACCAAATTGGTAGATACACAGTTTTCATTGGACAGGAATCGTATGAAAAATTCTAATGTGAAAAGTTAACCCCTTAAGCTGTCAGACAAATGTAGTGAAGTAAAAAAATTAATTTGTGCTGAAAAATGTACTTGGGTTACATCCCACCATTGATTGATATGGAGCCTATATATACCTGTACTAAGTTTATTAAGTACATAACATTAGGTAAAACTTCTTGAAGGTTATAATGTTCAGGTTTTTACTGAAACAGTAGAGATATGCTAAATGAACTTCACGCTGCCTGTAAAGGGTGCAGTTTGTGATGCTGTTGACTCTCTGAGAGGTGTTTTTGTCCACAATTTAGTAGACTACACGCTTTGGGAAGGCTGTATTAGGGGTTATGGGCAACTGAATCTAGTTTGGATTTGTACAGTTTTGGTCCCCTTGCTATGCTACAGAACTATAGAATATTACAGCAATAACATAAAATAATTTACTTGGTTATTCTTTTCGCCAGTAGGATAATCGTGAACTATAATATAATCAGCTGTAGGGCTGCAACTAAATTAGTGGCGATTAATGGATAATATATCAAACAATGGTGTAAAAATTCCTATATTTTGACCCAAAGATATTATTACATTACATTTGGGGAGCAATATGGGCTTCTTTTAGCTTCGTTTATTATCTCATTCTGACATGTGGAAAGGAGGAGCAGGGGATTGAATCACCAACTGTTCAATTAAGGGCCAACCAGCTCCACAGCTACAAATCCTTGCATTTGAGTAGCTGGAGCCGGGGAATTAACATTAACATTTCTGCATGGCAAATTACTTAAATGATGATACAATTACCTAAATGGTCTCTTATTATTCTCAGCACTAATTAACTGTCCTGCAGGCAGAGGTGAAAAAGTAGTGTACATAAACAGCTTTCAACAGCACTAAGTTAGAAGAATAGAAGGAAAATCTCAAGCATTAAACAGGCCAATGCATGTATTCAAAACCACTGAAGGGCATGAGAGCGCCTTAATTGCACCAGGGTCATAGACAATATTACAGAGCAAGGCGGATCAAAACAGACAAGTTTGTGCACAGCCAGTAAACCTCTTTCACCCAGTTCTTTTTCAGATCTATCAAGGGAGACCAGCTCCTTTTTTTTTCTAACAGTACCTCTCTCCTAATCTACCTGACTTCAGTACCCTGAGTGCAGAAAGTGGCAGGTATTGTCTCCCATTCTTCTCACTTTCTCGTTCTGACAGTAACCAGACACTGCGATGTATTGTCCCATTGTTCCCTCAATTACTGGTCGACTCAGGTTCAGACGGATCAGCTTACATCGTTCTCTATTCCTTGGCTGTGGGAAGGTTGACCGGAGGGGGGTCTGCAGGCCAAGGCTTTTTCACAGGGACCCAGAGGACTGGTGATAGTGCTCCAAATCTAGTAAAGGATTAATGTTACAGCTGCACAATAGCTATTGAGGGGAAAAAAACAGTTTGGGGTCAGTGGGAGGGTGTGTAGAAGGCCACAAAGATTTCATATCTTACTGTGCTTGTATTGATGACAGAATTTATAATAGATTATGATGGAGGCCCTACAAAAAAATAGTGATCAACAGCATTGTGCATGAAAGTATTCATTAAAAACATTTCAGAACCTTCTTGTAATATTCGATTACATTATTGTATTACCCTAGCAAGCCAAAACAGATATCATTGCTACCAAGCATCATTACTGAGGTACTTCTGTGGATAGCTTTCAAATATTATATCACCAGTAGAGGGAGAAAGAGGATCAGCTACAATTAGCTGTTTCTAGTTTCCCGTACTGGAATCCTGTGTTTATGATAAAAAATGAAACAATTGTTTATTTTTACTTTATTCTGTAAGGTTGTAATTCTGTAATTAATATCATGCAACAGGCTATGTATCTGCTCTTCTCCTGTACCTCATTCTGTTGGCACTGTCATGTTCCCACACTGCTGCAGCAGCATCTGTGACTGGAGAGACTCTGGAGTCCCCATCATGTAATATGATACTAATCTCACATGAGAAAAAGGAGGAGCTACAAACCATTATTATATTTTATTATATGATATGATCATATGAGATAAATTCAAGATAAAATTGGGTAAGACACGAGGTATAGAAGATATATAGACAACAGGTTAAAATCATAATGACAATTGATAGTCATATTAGAAATTATTGGCTGAAATGTGATAGTATTACAGTATTTTTAGCTCATTGGAGGTTATTTTTGTAAACTGTACCACATGTTTTAGATATTGTAGTAATATTATAGTAATATTTTTTTTCAAATATTTATGAACAATATATGTTGCCCACAAACAAACCAGTAGGCCTGTCCTACTTCTGCCTGAAGCTTTGTGTTTCTACTGATTTCTGACTGACTTTTTATGTTTGAGACCATCAATAGGATTATTACATAATTAATAAAGTTCTGCACATGTTTTCTGTATGGTTCGGTCAGAAGCTTTAGAGGCTGAAAGTAACTTGATTTGGTGTTTTTATAATTTTTAGAGGCCTTGTAGCCAATTTTTCTTTTTGTGAAAGTGTAAGCCCCGATTATTGCAACTGCACGAGTCTGTTTGGAACCTGCAAACATTTTAGAGGTTTATTTTGCTTCTCCATGGAGTTGCAGTTATCTTGCCAACAAATAGCGAGCACATGCTGCTGCATAGTTTCTCAGAAACAAAACCAGCCCTTCAATGAGAGTGCAGAAGATGAAAGAAACACAGAAACACCTTTTGAATCAAGAAATAATCATTGCACACGTCCAAAGTGTTCCAGCTTATTACATGTCCTTCCATGTTTGTTTTTTTCATGGTGTTCCAGTTGTAAAGTTGAGCTCCTGCTGTTTCCCCTTTAAAATGTGCAGGGTGCATGCTTGACCTCATCCCGGAGGGGAACCAATAGGTTACACATGGCACTCCAAATCCTCCCTCCATGTGTGTGCATCTCCAAACAGTCTGGGAGTAATTTCACATATCTGATAAGTATTTAGCTCCACAGAAAAAGGAGAAAGGAAAGGGAGGTGCAGATGTCCCTTCATACAAACACTGAAGCCTGAATTTATTTTTTTCAAATGGAATGGTTTCAAAGGGAAAAGTGAATAGGATTAACTTGATCCGGGTTTTGTGGCCCATATGCTTCTCAGCCACTTGGGTACGTAATATTGTGTGCAATTATGGAATAAATGTGTTTTATTAAGGGGACACAACAAAACAAAAAACAGCCACAACACAAGCTTAAGAAACATGCATACAGTGTTTATTTTGCAACCAGGACACATTAAATAAAACTACAAAGGTACTTCACTTATACAAAAGATAGATTATATCCCATTCACATACAAAATAACAATAATTTACTGTATAAATTAAACATTTCACTATTTTGCTATTTACAATTTCATGAAAACATTGTTTTGGTCCCCACAGGGCTTCTGGTGTCGTTTTCACGTAATCGAGCACTACAGGACATTCACATCAACTACAGTTTGGGAAAAGACTGTTTCTACTGCTAAGAAGATAGCGTGGAATTTTCCAACTGACTGGAGAACGGGACAAAAAATGGGAGTTTGCATAATTCACCAGGCTATCCAAACAAATATGCCCTTGTTAGATTTTAACTGTCAGATTTCGTTAGCTTGTGTGTGATTTGAACGCACTTTAATTTCCCATTGCTCTCACATCTAGGCTCTCTTTTCTCCCTCTATCTATGCATGGTCTGCTCTGAACATCACAGACCCAGGGGCATGTGCTCTTGTCTTGCAATAATTAAGATGAGTTACAGTTGAGCAGACAGGCAAAGAATATGAAGTCACATTTTTACTAATGCGTCTGATTTGGAAAGAAAGGTTCCCTGATTGTTTTATGGGCCTAAGATTCTGTCTGATTCCTGAAAAACTTTTGACTTGAATGTCACTGTGAGGCCGCATCATGCTTAGTGCTCAGGTTGCTGTACAAAGTACATTTTATTTTATTTTTATTTTCATTGAAATTGAACGCAAAAGTGAATAAGTACTGTTTCATCTTGTAAGTAGAAGCAAATTTAAGTGCATTGAGTCTTCTTTATTTATCCTGTCAGCAATTAGAAGATTTTCAGGGGGTGACCATCTGCAGACTAACATCCAGTCCCACGACAGGAAAGGCCATTACTATGCCAATGGTGAACTAGTAGATTTTGACCTTTCACAAGTAGTTTAAATGTCACAGCAATGCACAGAAAATCGTCACAGCTGCAAACCTGCTGACAGCTTGTGCATAGTACCATTGAGTGCTTTTGGTTATATTTCTGTCTGGGTATATTGTTGGCCCTCAACCGTTTGGCCTGAAATCAAGGTGACAAGTAAAAGCTTCCAGGTCTGCAAAGTCTTGTGGAATTTAGGCAATTTACTGCTGTCTAAAGAGAGAAAAAATGCATTCCACCGATGAGATAAATTGACAAGTAAGTACAAAAAGCATTTTGACGGGTCTCTTAAATGCCGAGTCACAAAATGAAGGAGTGGACATAAATATGATCATTCCCACATTGAATTACATAATATACAACAATATTCATCCCCCCGTAATCAAAAGACAACTTAATGTGAACAATATGTTCAGTAAATGTCCAAGACTACGTATAAGATCACACACAGAAATTAAAAACAAAGATTTCTTTTGAAGCCTTGTCTGTTACTACGTGAAGAATCCTATTTCAAAAGGCTATGTGTTCATTTTGGATGGACGTCCATCATGTAACAAAAATGTAAAATATCCAGTCTGGAGAGGTGTTCAGTTGAATGTACTATGTTTAAAAAGACTAATATTTAATGATTTCAATCACTGTACAAGATGTGGCATCATTTTTTACTTTACATTTAAATTTTCTTTTGGACTGACACTCTTATTTTAAAGAAGTGCAGACTCTTTTGAGGGACCCAGTCCACTCCACTGAAAGAAATAGATGTGAGGAATCTGAGACAAGGGAAGAGGAGATCCTTAAGGCACTTGAACACCATCAAACCGGAAAGACTCCCACCCACAACCGAGCAGAAAAAGCCCTCAGATCTTCCCAAGCCTCCCTAAATGGCAGTTTGTCTGCAAACTGCACCACCCAACCCCCCCCAGTGAACGACGCTGCTTCTTCTCTCCACCCAAATCCACATGAGCACTGACTGAACGAGTGGGCGAGCGCGCTCTCTTTCTCTCTGATCTTTTCATTTTACGGTGAGTGATTCATCCCCAAAGTGCTATGATATCTACCTTTTGTCTCCATGTCCTGTTCCCCTCTCCCGAGAAAGCTAGTTGTCACGCAAAACACATCAAAAAGAAACTTTGCATATGGAATCAAAAAGACAAATAAATACAACTCTTTGGATGGGAGGATTCTGTTTTTTGGCTGCAAGTGTTCGTCGACCATATGAGGCAGATAGAAGAGTTATACAAAACTGTTAAGCTGTGTTAGGTGTTACAGCAAATGTGTATCAAAGACTCCATTTCTTCATCCTCTCTTTGATATTGATGAAGATTCAGTTGCCACTCTGAAGCTCCAGGAAGAGGTAAACCTCCCTGTTTCCTAAACTGAACACAGGCAGTGAAGTTAGCTGTTATTCTGCACCCGGCTATGTTGGGTTTTCACTGGCGAGTCTGCAGTCTGGAAGGGTTTTTTGGAGGTATGTTGATTGTGATGGACATCCGTGGGTGATGGAAAAGGAGACTCTCTGAACCAGAGAAGCTTCCTGCATGTTAAAAAGTGTCCTTGAATCTTTTATCAGAGCTGCAGATCTTCCTCCATCTAATCCTTTGCTCTCCTCTCCCACACTGAGGTCACTGACAGCCCAGCCTGTCCCCCTCCTCCTTGGTGCTGAGCAGGATGGGAGGGCCCAGCCACTTCAGCCCACGGGCCATTTAGTAGCAGTCACTAAGTCAGTTTAGCCTCTCAGTTGTTGGCTTGTTTAGTGTAGCGCCTCATAGAGTTTCATTGTCTGAGGGCCTGGCATCTGACGGCCCTTGTACAGAGTATTTGTGGATGGCGGTAGCGTTTGGTTAACGGTGAGGCGCAGCAGTGGTGTTAGTTGCCCACGAGGGGGCTGAGGTCGCCATGGTGGTTCTTTAGCTTCTTCTTGAAGAGGGAGATGGTGGAGGGTCGGTACAGGATGATCCAAGGCTCAGTGGACGCCGTGCTCTGGCTACAGCTGTCTGAACCGCTGACTGTTGGGATGTTCGGGGACCTGAGAGGGAAAATGAGGAAGAGAGGAAGAGAGACAGCAAAGAGAGAAAATAAGTAGAGAGAGAAGAGTAAGAGAGAAAACAGTAGAACAGAAGAGAGGGAGAATAATGGAAAGGGATTAAAGAAAGATAGTGATATAGAAAGGATGTCACACTGCCTTTTAAATGTCCCTAATGTTTCATTATTACATGATCTTTAATTACATATTATTATATAATTACATTATATGACATTTATTGCATTGAATCTACCACTGTTGATGGTCAAAAATTTTGGTTTTATTCATCTAAAATCAGCAACTTTGCCTAAGTTAGACATAGATTAATTTAATCATAAGATTAAAATTGTTTAAAAAAAACTTATGTTGGACCAACTTAAAACTTATTTGTATCTATTATTATTATTATTATTTATTTCGAGTGGGAATAGACAGAAAGAGGATTGCTAAACTTTTTTCATTTTCACTTAAAGAAAAAGAAAGAAATGTTCAGCTTGAACAAAATGTTTAAACAAATACCAAGAATTTTAAATTGGTCAATAAACTATTTTTCTTTCTCAATATTTTATTCTTTCACATTGCCTGTGCTGCTATGTGGGAAATCGCAAAATTTACCCTGAGTAGGATATCTGGCTTTGGCGACTTCTAGTGGTAGTAATAAAAAGTGAGTGAACAGTCAAGGAATATACACATTTTCACTGCCATTGTCTTATTTTGTAAGTTCCTAAGATGCTTTTATCACATAAAAATTCAACACACTGGGACTTTAAATGTGTAAATATCGCCCTGTTCTTTCATCTTGTTCCAATATAAGCATCATACCACAGATAATTGCTTTGAAATGTTAATGCTTGGTGAGCGCTGAAACATCCTCATACTTACTTGACTGTGATGTGCAGCAGCAGCTTTGCCACCATGGCTATGACTGTCAGTATGAGGAGAGCAGCCAGAGCGTAAATGGTCCACACTACAGAGAGGGAGCAACACAGTAACAAGACATCAGATATCCAATCACGGCAATACAAACAAACCGAAGCAGACTGAAAGGATTAGCAAGAAAAGAGTTATTCAAGCACTGCTGGCGCACCTGTTAGCAGTGTTCAGCCAGCAAATTGTCAAGAAATGGTGATGCATTATCATTGCACATCTGTTTTCTTCTGGTTGAGAAATACATCAGAAAGCCCTTTGAGACAGCGCGCTCAGAGTTTGGGAAGAGAAATATTTGAGTGAAGTAAAAAAGCACAGAACACGTCAGTCCACCCTGCATAGCTTTGACAAGAGGCCTGATTGTGATCAGCAGGGAGACCCAAAGTAACTTCAGTTATGAGTCACTGACAGGAAAAAACAAGCGTCACATAGCATTACTTCTATGTATGATCATAGGAAGTCACTCTGGGCCGAAGCTTCCAGAAGCCTCTCATCAAACTAAGATGATTTTAATGCTGTCAGAGAAACCAGGTCACACTAAATGGGAGCTCCAGCCAAGAAACGTTCCACAGCATCCCTGCAGAGGTAGAGAGAGGTGCAGTAGGTGCAGTGTATCATGGGTGTTAACATACTAGCACTGTGGCCGGTGGTCTCGCCGCGTCCAGCCCACTGACCTGGCATGTTGTGCTCCGGTTTACCGGGGCTGGACGTGATTACGTAGAGGATCTGGGAGGAGCGTCCGTTAGAGGTGCTGTTGGATCGCTCGGTGATTCCACCTGCTAGCTGGGGTCCTGCTGTGCTGGAGACATCCTCTCCTTCATCCTCGTCATCTCCTTCAGCCTCCATTGTTCTGGTGTCTTGGCTTCTCAGTGCTAGGAACAAAAATAAGAACTGATTCAGACAGGTTCATAGACAGTTGGATGTTTTGTCCAATTTTATTTTACTCTTTCAGCTCTGTTTTTGGTCTCCACCAACTCCTGGGGGAAAAGTATGTCTCTTTAGCAGCTAAATACTACTACTATGTTCACCAGCTAGTTGCTAACTTTGTCTGTCTATCATTTGGTGCTAGGCATGTAGCATACAGTGAGATTTTAGAGCGTTTTTCCACTGAAAACAACTGCCAGCTGACAATGTAGATTACCCAAAATGGTAACATTGTGGGCCAGAAACAATAAGCTAAAAGACGTTAAAATCCTCCACAGAGCTGAAGGGAACTGCAGAGTTCTGTGATAATTTTCTGTGTGTTCATCACTACAAGCGAGTAGTGTGATTTATTGTTATAAAATAAAAATATTGATTGTCGCCACTCTAAAATTTGCAAGATACTTTCATATTTTGTCAATAACAGCAAAACAAATAACACCATTGATACATAATTTGCATATACATACCCATGAATATTAAAGAACGCATTATAAATAAGTTTAAGGTAAATTGAAGAGGCAAACCAACTGCCATTTTCATTATTCAAGCAAATATATTATTCATTTAGCACATCTTGCAATGTATAAATGATTTCTCAGTCTCAGTAGTAAAGTTGGTCTTTCTAACTTCTTATTAATCTTATTAATATTACTTCTTTGAGCCATTTTGCATTTAACTGTTACAGTTCTCTGCCATGTGACATATCACGTCTTGAAAATGTGACTATTTCTATGTATTATAAGCTTTCATAGCTCATGTGCCACAGACAAAGACGAGGAAAAGGTCTTCCATGTTGTGATTTCTACAAGCTGAGCACACATATCACTTAACGCCCCTTTAATTATTCCTGTGGGCAAACTGGGCTGTGGCAGCAAGCACGCAGTAATAGGATACATCACGTTAATCATGTTGTTGAAAGTATATACAGCACAGTCACGAGTGAATATTTAATACTAACAGCATTTGTTAAGAAAAAAATCGACTTTGAATTGCTGTAAACATGTGGTGTTGAGAGCTTTTCAGCCCGCCCAAGCCATGATTCAAAAAGTGTTTGCAATAAATTCTGTTTGTTTTAACCTGCTTACAGCACCAGATGGGCAGAGTCTGCTTCATAAAACAACAGTGCCAGAGAGCGTGGACTATTTCAACTCATTTATGTGTTCCCAGAGGAAAGCAATATCCTAAATAAGATCTCTTCTGCCTTTCATTTACTTCTCCTAAACATAGATGTGATTTATTTAAAATCACTGTGTGATTTTGAGAATTTTCTTCTCCTACTTCTGAAACACTGCCTCTAAGAAACAAACTGTGGAATGTGTGATCCTGATATTTATGTGTCTCACTTGACTCTTTCATCCTTTTTTCTTACATCTTAATTTGCAGTAATATTTGGTGAAGAAAAACATCTCAGAAATCTATCAGCAGTCTGTGATTGTAGTCAATGTTATGGTTTCTTCCCTGCCTCATTGGAAAAATGCAGTTTGCAGCGCTGATTAACTTTTTCCACCGTCTCTCAGAATTATTCATTAAACCAAAAATATGACCCTGACTTGTTCAAAAGTTTAACTTATATATTTAATAATCACCAACTGTAATAAATACATAAATAAAGGTGGCATTGCGGGATTATCTGTGATTAGTAGAATAACGATTGCAAAATGTGATGATTTAGTTTGTTGGCTGGAAAGAATATCACATGGTGATGGTATCTGCAATTAAGTATATCTGGTACAATATACTAGGTCACATCAAACACACAGAAATACTTATAAATACTTTTTTAACCATCGCCTGTTCCACTCTTCCATGAAAGGTGGTTGAACATTAAAGCAGCGGGGGATTTTTTCTTTCTTTTCATATAACAGCTCAACCTGAGTGTGATCTTCCCAGAACTTCCCACATGTTCCCCATTTGCAGACAAAATAACATGCTTCAAACCCGGGCTCAGCTGAAACGCTCTGCCATCCTCATCTGAGAGCATTTATCCTGAAATTACCGCTTTGACCGCTCAGTGTGCAACAGAGGAGATATTAGACATATTTAACGCGGATGCTTATTTTAACTGTTGTCTTTCTCTTTCAGTCTTGTTTTTTTCTCTGCACCTGAGTTGCTATGTATTTTTCTCTCTAGCTTTCTGTAAAAAACAACCCTATTACTTCAAAGGGTGACCTTTTCTTATATCATGTCTCAGAATCAATTTCTTGGATACACAAAGCCTCACGCAAAACAAGAACCAAGATGTGAGCAGAAGATATTGTGCCTGTCAAGAGGTCAGAGGATTTTTGACCTTCGAATACTGTTTTTACTGTAACGCCACCGGGCAAGAAAAATGACAAAGGATTACAAATGGAGGCAGCGAGGGAAGAGCAGGGACAGATTGCTTCCCAGCGTAGCGAGCTGTAAGCTTGAATGTCACCTACACTGAATTATATCAGGGTGTGCTTCTCTCAGGCCTCACGAAATGAATGTATTAAATCATTTTTGGTGCATTCAGACTATTCAAAGTAATTTTGAGAGAGAATAATGTGAAAACAACAGAGTACAGCTTTTCTTTTTCCATATTATTCTTTTTCCATCTTCCACATTAGTTTGGAGAGATAAAAAGAATTTGCTGTGTGAGGTCTTCAACTTTCTGTGAGCTATTAGTTCCCCAGCTATATGTCTAACTCTTTAACTGTCTACAGTGAAATCATGCTATCAGAAGGCGCGGTGCATAGTATCACAGTATTTTGTATGTAGGTGGCATAAAACCTCGCTATGCAATTCACGAAGGAAAACAGTCTGGACAAGCAAAGCAGCCTGCTGCAGTTTGATAAGAGAGTGAGTTCCTAGAAAAACAAAACATTATTTAAATATGCAGTATCACCCGGGGCTGTGAGACATTGACTAGCAAATGAAAAGAGAAAAGGGCCTGCCAGTGGTGTGACAACTGCCACACCAGAGCTAACAGGCGCTGCTATGCAAAACTCCATCATGGAGCCAGCAAGTAGGCACGCACCTGATCATGCAAATGTGGCGCTTGGTGGGTTTGAGGGGGGTACTGTAGCTCAGGATGTCTGCTAGAACTCAATCTAAACATTAGAAGTGATAGTCTGTCATAAGCTTTGACACATTTTACAAAACTATTCTCCTGCCATCGCACTGCTGAAACCTTTCTCATCAGGAATACCAAACATCAAGTGGAACTCCCACCTTGGTAAAGCAGAGCGAATCCCTGGGCCTGGTTGGTGCGGTCTGAGTAGAAGTACAGTATGACAAAGTCGCCTGTGACGTTCACCAGCTCCCGTGGCGGGCTGCGCCAGTCGAAGCGTTCCAACACCTGGTTGGTGTAACCGTCCAGTAGCTCAACCATGTCTGTCTGGTCAGAGATGTCAAAGAAAGTGAAGTTGAAGAGGATGGCGGAGGATCCAGGGACCTGGATAGTCCAGTAGCAAACACGGTCCGCCTTGTACTTGTCGGGGAAGTCGGGGGAGTAGATCACTCCAGATGGAGAGGAATAGTTTCCACCGCAGGCCCCCACACGGGCTGGAAGGAAGGAAAAAAATTCAAAATGATCAGTTATATTTGCCCTCAAAGCTTAAAGCTGTTGAGATTGTTAGGATTGTGAAGTCGATGAACTGATTACGGAGTTATTTTTGGTCCAAGGTTATTATACTTAGTTATTTAAACTAAGACTAAACAAAAAACATATAGCTAATTGAAATAAAAATAAAACAGCATAATAGTAACATTAACTATATTATGTACTTCCAAAAGAATAAAAATACAATAAAAATATACAGGGAATGTCAAATTTGTCAACACAACAAGCATGAGGAGGCATTGTTGCATATGTTTACTGAGCCTGAGATGTCTACATGACTGTGAGACAATATCTTTGTATTATAATACCTATTCTAAACTTCCTAAATACTCCCATAATATAATGAACAAAAAATAAAACTAACACTGAAACAAATTGTATTATTACGTGGATAGGGTATAAGCCAAGGCATGATTGATTTTCTTTGTCAATTACATTCATTTGTTTCCCGCTGGTCCCCAACTTTAGTACCACAGCAATGACTAACCTCATGTTAACTTCCATAAAAATGATTGCAATGAGTTGCAGTGAGGTATACAGATTTTAAATGTGGGGATAAGAGTGTTTTTGGATTGGTACTTGGTATTGGCAAATGCCTTCAGAATTGGTTATCGGGAAAGAAAAAGTTCAGTTAGACAATCTCAAATTGAAAAGCTGTTTAGTGCAGCTCTAAGACTTACATGTTAAATATATAATATTGTAAACTATATTTTGTTTAAGTGTTGGAAGGCTGTGGAGGAGGGGTGCTGGTGACAAGGACATTTCCCACTGTTCCTTCTGGAGGTGAACTGGAGCCTAACTTAACAAAACATATTAGATGGGAAAAAAAAAAACTGCAGGCACTAACACAAGGAGCAAAAAAGGCTTATTACCCCAGATACAGATATAATTGTGTGCATTACCTTCTATCACTTTGGAAATCTTAAGATCAAAGTTTAATATCTCGTTTTTACAGAATAGAAAATCACAGCACAGATGTAACAATATCAGAGTCACACCCAGAGCAATACTAGCTAACACTCACTATCAAAGATGATGACCCAGCCGTCTCCTCCGCAGGGCTGGGTGTGGTCTCCGAAGCAAACGTGGTTACACTCCATGCTAGGCGACTCGTCATGGTCACGCGAGTCCACTTCGTTACCACAGAAACAGGCATATCCTGACTCCATTCCGGCAAGCTGCAAAACACAAAAGGATTTATGCAAATCACTGCATCAGCAATTCAAAACAAACTTTGGGTTAACGCTTCCCATAATGCTATTCATTATAAATCCATTTGGCATGGGTGCCAGCGAGGAAAACACTGAGGGAGCCCAACGACTAAGAGAAAAAACTTTGTGGAGAAAACATGAAGATTTTGGCTCAACTTTCTACTACTTTCTAAATATTCAAAATGGCTACTTTTTCCATAAAATGATACACGATTACAGCTTTGCATATAAAACAAGTCTGAAAATACACAACACATTCAAATAAAACTTTTTTTATAGGCTGTGTTTCTCATATGTGATATGTGAATAAACCTTTTCGTAAACAGTCCACTGCATGGGGCTCGTTCTTTCTTTGAAATTAAGACTTAATTGCTCTTTCTCTCATGATTACAAGATGCTGTAATCTAAGTCTGGACAACCGCAACCTCTAAGCTGATTAGAAGCCTCCTGTCAAACACACAGCTGCACATGGGGTGTAGAGAATAAACCTTACATAAATAGCATCTATCTTTCAAATCAAAACTGTTAGTAAACTGTTCCTGAAAGCATCAGAGCAGGAATGCGAAACGTCAAAAACCTTCACACATCGTGACCTCGCCACCACTGGCTGCTTGTTCTCAAAAGAGTTATTGTCCTTCATCCAAAAGGACACCATTGTCCAATTTTCAGCCCCTAAATGAATTCACACAACTGAAGGTACTGCCTCATTTCCCAGTCTGCGTCTTTTCTCATGGAATAGGAATTTATCAAGCCTCTGCTCTCACCAAGATGTATCAAGCCACATCCTTGTTGCATTATTCTATCTTATGAAGTAACACCAACGTGAATACCAGCGGAGCAAACAAGCCATGGATTGCTGTCTAACTCATCAGGCATGCTCTTTGTCAAACAGTCACACGGGGATCAAACATCCCGGCACTGACGTTCCACATGCACATTAAGGACGGTGACAGTCCAAGGGTAGGCAGATGATGCCAGTCTGCTGCCACATCCTGTAACATCTGCTGAATTGAGAGGGGAGGGTGGAGCTGTCAGTATCTGTCAATGCAGACGGAGCTGAACTGGATCTGCTGAGACAGAAAATGAACACCTGGCACTGTTTATGGCTGGGACAATGGCATGCCAGACTCTGAGATGAGGAAAACGCATTGAAGAGGAGGTGCCCACTGGGCTAATAACCATTCATTTCCAGCTGTCAGCATTGATTGCTGTGATGATTTGTCATCCGCTGGTTGGTTCGAAACAGGAAGCTTGATGGCTGAATAAAGAGGGTATAAACTGCACTGGACATCATGGTAATAACTGTCAGGAAACTGCCCGTAAATGCAGATGATTTACATAAAAGCTTGACGATTACAAGAGACAGCTTGTGTCCATTTTAGACATGACATGGGCAATTGAGTGGACACTTTCTAGACTAATGATGGAACAGATTTGAACTTTCCAGTACGAGTGCCAGGATAAAAGATACACTACCAACAATTCTCTTTTTTAAGGAGGTTTTCTTTTTATTTTACACATTTCCTCTCGAGGTTCAAATCTCACCTTGTATCTCTGCTTCCTGCAGAAGCTAATACAGTTCTGGATGGTGAGTTTGTTGGAGGTCTCGCTGGTGCCGGACAGAGTGGGTGGATCACCGCTGTCTTTGAAGCAGCCCAAGTTCCCAGGCACTGTTAGGCGGGAGGAAAAATAGGTTACACACAACTAATTAGATGAAATCTGTATCACATGCTGACTATTAGCATTTCCTGTACAAATATCATAAACAATTTAATCCAAGTTTCCTTCCAGATCCACTCCAGGGATCAGTCCCTGGTTTGTATTTTATGAAACACATTGTACGCATGTGGTGCGATTATTTTGACACATGTGGTTGCGATAGGATTCACAATTGACGTGGGAATGTAATTTTTAACAAACAAATTTAATTTTCACTGAAAAAACTATTAAAATCATGAGGATTTGATCAAACAAACATGTCTTCTTAAATCTGGAGAACAGGATTTGTAGGCCAGGACATCTCTGCAGTACTTCATTATAATTCTGTTTTGTCAAACATTTTACCAAGCTGCTGCAATTTGGATATTGCATTTTTGGATTAACTGTGCAGCCCTACTGCATGCCTCAAACCCTTACGTGTCTCATGGCTTCCTCTAAGCACTGTTCAAGTGTTATAATCATGTTTGTGATTAACACCCCGTAGACCCGTCCCCAAAGAACAAACTGTGACACACTCAAGAAGTATTCAGGCATCTGTTTGAATGTATTGATGTGATTTGTCAACAGGCATGGCAACAATTTGGCCAATGAATAAAAGAAAAGAGAGGAGCAGGAGGAGGCGAGAGGTAACGGAGAGAGGGAAGAGGGGTGAAGGGGACAGGGATGTTTGAGTCATAGCGAGAGAGAGCTGGAATCTAGAAAATGTACGGTCATATGTGAGAGCAAGTTGCATCAGATTAGGGATATATCGTTTTCTACATGTGTGACTGTGAGTGTGTGCTGAGAGATCGAAATTTCTAAGTTTGATGTGCCAAGAAATGTAAAGAATTGTGACATAGTGCCTTTACAGATGGTATTTGACAAATAGTGATGTCTGGAAGGAGGCCAAGTCCAATATGTCTACATTAAAGTTAAATTTTAACCAGTAAAAGCACAAAAGTGATATAAGAGCATGAGCAAAAATTCACTTGGCAAGTTTTGCATTAAGGACTGCTACCTGAGACATACTTTAGTCAGCCTTTCAAAAAACAATGCAAGCAGCAACTACATACAATTTCTACATCCCAATTTGTTTTATACCCTCTTGGTTTTGACCCTTGTTGCAGCCTATCATATGAGTATATGAACCATATTGAACATCAAAATGTTTGTTTGTTAGGTGAAACCTGGGGATGTATGACACAAATAGGCCAACAATTGCAGATGGATCACAGACCAGACAGGCAGATGGAAGATGGATGTTGACATCTTCAAGTCAGACGGATTCGTCCCTTAATCCACAGCGTATTCATCAAATAACATGCAATCTTTCAAAATCTAACGCAGTGAATAAACTCCAAAGTCTTTAAAATCAACGTAATAGCTCAGGAAGTGCCAACGAAGCCTCCAGCAGTCTATATCCCACTTGTGATTTGTTTTTCATTGCGATTCAAACAGCCTTATTCTTGTTTCATTTCCATGTTCTGAGGTGAAACGAATTTGACAGTAAATGCACAATCTGAAAGTAATTTCCACTGCAAGTATGAAAAATCTGCCCCCAAAGCTCTTCAGTCTAATTGGAATTACAGTCATCCGACTGTAGGGTACAAATGAGCTCATTAGGAGAAGACAGAAAAGACAAGAGCAAAGACTGTGTCCAAAATAGCTGTCAATGGTGCTCTGAGACACAAAGTGGGTGCAAAAATCAAAAGCATGTGACATTACAAAGCATTCTTGTTCTTTATCAAGCATCTGCAATTTCCAAATTCATTTCAATCTCCGCATGCAAGTTAACTGAGGCACAAACCATATTTAATACAGAGCTCAAAGGGTGACTGAGGCTTCCTGGTTTAAATCTAATTTCTTGCTGTCTTATGAACTCAAAATGACTGAATTGTTTTGGAACTAGAATTCAAATCACTAGAAAAGTTTGTACTGATTGTATAATATTGGAATTGTGGAAAGTAATGGGGTTGCACCTGTTGAATGTAGTACAGTAATAAAACACTGCATTTGGAGTGGAGAATTACTCGTATTTCTGTTGAGTGTTTCTGGCTCAGTTTCCCCACATATTGATAAAAGAGAGCAAGGCATTTATTTGATCATAAGTTAGCTGTAACACAGGAACATGTCCTGTCTATTTGTGGTCAATAACTTTGTGTTCAAATACTTGATGCTGCAAAGTCTGACAATAAGCTCTGAGACCGTGGAGTGGTTTGTCCCCTGATTCTGTATACCAACACTGTCCTAGAACTGAATATCTCTGGAGCTTTTCAGATGCTGTGTCTTCTCATCCTGAACACTGGCATGTTGAAAGCTGCCTGCTCGTCTGATGACAGCGAGTTCCACCAGTGAACAACTGTCACCCAGTTCAGAAACAGAAAAACACTTGATCCATTTTTACAAGCCTGCCATGATTTAATTTTGAAATATATTGGTATTCTACAAAAGAAAAAAAAAAAAAGTATGGATACAAATGCAGCACGGTTTGAATATTTATAACATCACTGAGGAGGGGCATCACTCAAAACTGCCGTCAAGACCACACACGTGCATTGTCTTTGGGATACCAGTTGTTGCCAATGTTAACTTATTGGCTGGCACGAACAGCTCCTCTACACGCACAACAGATGCTGCAGATTCTTTCTGTTTATGTAACAATGAGGCACAAAGGCTTTTGGGGACAAAGTGTGACATGTTTCAGATTCCACGCAAATTGTTGTCCGCAAGAATGTCTGCCACAGACTGGAAAAGTGAACGGGGGGGGGGAAGGAGACTTGCAGAGAGAGGGCCGCTCCCTATGTTTCACCCATGTTTGCTGACCGTAAAGTGACCAGCGAGATTTTGGTTGCAGCCCTGAGTCGCTGTTGCACAGAACTGTGGTTGACAGATGACTCAACATTTGAAGACAAAGTCCTCAGACTCCCTCAGACCTGCAATAAATCATTTGCAATATTCCTTTTTCAGCCACAACCAAGCCAAAGCTTTATAAATGGATTAATATGGTTGTTCGAGTCGTTTAGCAAGACTCCATGGCACACACTTGCAGAATTAAGGAGCAGATTGTATGACAGGTTAGAGGCAAACATGACAGTAATAAGAATATTCGAGCTACTTCATATTTTCAGGGTGAGACGGGACAGTGCTGTAGCAGTAGTTTCCTTTTTATCCATCAAATATATACTGGATTAACCCCGGTGAAGTGTGCAGGGGGGCAGATGAGAAGAAAGGAGAGATAAACACCTGGTTGGGAACCAGCAACCTCCCTCCGAGCAAGGCAGGCAGGCACCACTTCAATGGAGCTTTTGAAAAGCGGAGGAGAAAATGCTACTGCAGGGCTCAACAGCCAGATTAAAGGCAGCAGTGCTCCTTTTTCATTTTGCTTTGACAAGAAGATTGCAGACTACAGTCAATTTATCTGTCTTTGTCCTCTTCTCGTCCCAGGGGCTGTGAAGCGGTGGCTGAAGAGCAGCAGGTGGTGGGATTGTATCACACCCGGGCGTTGGAGGTTTGTATGGAACTGGAGACGCGGAAGGCGACAGCCGCAGTGGCTGTACCTTCCCTGCCTGCAGTGTTTATCTAAAAAAGAAGTGTAAAATTGTCCTTGCATTTCAAGTTCCCCAACAAAGCATTGTTCCTTAAAAAACATCTGCTTTGCAGGCGCAACAAGTGCAAATATCTCCACAAACAATAAAAGAAAAAACACAAACACATTCAACACACTTCAAAGCTGTCGGTGGAATTTAGACTTTAACGAGCCAGAGGGGAGAAATGGAGGAAACACAAGGTGCATAAATGCTCCAGTCAGCCCAGACCAGACCTCTGAAAACCTCGGGAGATCACAGCAGGGGGGGGACTCCCACAAAGTAAAAAAAAACAGACACAGACACAGAGAGCTAAACAAGGCTTGACTGCAGCCAGACGCATCACAACCTGGCAGCCTGCTGCCTTAGCTCGGAAAAGAGTCGAGTTAGTTAGCCTTCCCACAATGCAACGCAGTGATATGCAGACAGGAGGCAGCAGGCAAAACAACAAAGTTCATGGGTGTCTGTCTGGCAGAGGGGAAAAAGGAGACACCTCTGTTGACGCAGCAGACACAACAACAGCGCCGACCCAAAACACATCAGAGAGAGAGAGAGAAAAGAACAACACAGAGGGATATAACAACATCAAACATGTGCAGCAGGCTTTGGCAAGTGCACTTGGCAGGGAGCATGCAAGCAGGTTGATGAGCTGGGGGGGCAAACATGTTATTAAGGAAACATAATTACAGTTATAAATGTCTATGCCATCTGGAGGGTAAAGACCAGAAGAAATCTAAGAAAAAAAAATAGTGTTTTCTTTCTCTGGGTGTCTCTCTTTTCAAATTAGATTTACTCTTAACAGCCAGACTCAGCACATGGTTTCAGATTTTTTCATTTAATATATGAGGTAAGACAGACTTGGACAAGGACATATGAAGCCTTAAGGAACAATGAACCTTTAAAGTCTGCTTTATAATCACAGTTGAAACACAGGATTTTAGTATAAGAGCTATTCTCACACTACAACAACAAGAGCCTGCATTCAAACTGGGAATACCTTTAATAAAGCACCAACATTAGAACTGGGTATCAAACTGACTGTTGAAAACTGTCAAAAACAAACTGGTCTGGTCAGTCCTAATCGTATTTATTTATTTACTTATTTATTTACCAATTTCAGACAATATTTAACACATGAGAACTTTGGAATTTTACATTCCTCAAAGAGGAAAGACCCTAGCATCAAAAAACCTTTAATGATACAGAGCTCGTACCAAAACAAAAGTTGAAATAACATATATAATCATTGTTAGCTTCTGCCTTTTATTGTTTTGTATAGATGGGACCAATATTTCTGATTCATAGTCTCTGCACACTGAGCCAATCCAACATAAAGATCGAAAACAATGCACGCCCATTAGACTGCCTATTAGACTGCACTGAACAAA